TGAGGGGCGCCTTGGTAGGGGTCAGCCAGTTTGGTTCTCTCTACTAAGCTTATCTTGAGCTCCATTATCAGGGATTATTGCAATTTTTACAGGCCAAGAATATGCTTTTTGGCACTATATATATATGGCCCTCTTCTCTTTAATTCCATCTCAAACAGAATTAAAATTAAACTTAGATCGGAGTAAATTTTTTCGGCCCCCTCTCTCTATTTCTCTTCTAAGAGCTTTAGAATGGCAAAATTTTCATGTGACCCCCTAATAGTTGGGAGAGTAATTGGGGATATGTTGGACGCTTTTACCCCTACCACCAAAATGTTTGTGACTTATGGAAACAACAAACAGGTCTTTAACGGCCACGAGTTCTATCCCTCAGCCGTTGCCGCCAAGCCCAGGGTTGAGATTCAAGGAACTGACATGAGAACTTTCTATACTTTGGTACTATAATATTATATATATATATATATATATTTTTTTTTTTAATTTGTGTTTGAAATTGATGTGTTGTTAATTAATTAATATTGTTGTTGTAGGTAATGACTGACCCTGATGTTCCAGGCCCTAGTGATCCATATCTCAGGGAACATCTTCACTGGTATTAAATTTATTCATCTAGTTAATTAAATAGTAGTTCTGCTACTACTACTTTAACTTAATAGTCTATGCTGGAGTGATAACATAATAAATAACATTATTATTATTAGTGTTTTAAATAACAAGCGTAAATATTATTATTAGTGTTTTAAATAACAACCGTCATCATACTATTTGAACAAAAGGTATAATCTTACTATTAAATATCATATTTATGTTTATGTTTTTAATAATTATGAAAATTTTTGATAAAAATAAATATTCCTAACTAACAGTATGTCCGTCTAATGATAAGGTCAGCTTAATACATGACCAATAGTTAATGTGTAATTGGTAGGTTGTTTTACACCAACAATCTATACACTTCAATTACACATAATATTATTATTACAAACATTAAAGTAGTTAATCATCACTCATCGTGTTTAGCAATTTCCAAGAAGTCATTATCCCGAGGATCAATAAATAAAGAAAGAATAAACAAGACAAGTATAAGGAGAGTAACGTAATCTAACCCTAATATATTTGTCAATTGCGTGAAATAAATGATTACGTATTTACAGGCTGGTGACAGACATTCCAGGCACGACAGATGCCTCATTTGGTAAGAATACCATCACACAGTACACTCTCTCATTTTTGGCAATTTTTTCATTTTCTTCTCACAATTAATTCCTAATTAAATCTAAATCAACAAAACTAATATATTATCACACAACAGGAAAAGAGTTGGTGTGCTATGAGACACCAAAGCCAAATATAGGAATACACAGGTTCGTGTTCGTCCTTTTCAAGCAAAAAGGCAGGCAAACGGTAAAAAGCCTTCCGAATATCAGAGACCACTTCAATACACGTCGTTTTGCAGCAGAGAACGAGCTCGGCCTACCTGTGGCCGCCGTGTTCTTCAACGCACAACGGGAGACTGCCGCAAGGAGGCGCTAGATTTGTTGCTCCCAATTAACATCTTTCCCTATTAATTAATTATTAAAACTTTATCTTATTATTATTATTATTATCAAAAAATCAATTGATTTGGAGAATTTATATTTTATTTTCCGATCATTCTGTTCGGCAAAGAATGCATGTCTTGTTGTCCTATTTCAATGGTGTTTGATAATTAAATTTACACTTAACCTTTTAAACTTAATTGGATGTACGGTTACAAATGTTGTTATTTGTTAGAATGGCGTTTTATAAATAAATATACACTCTTTAACATTTTAAACTTAATTGGATGTATTGTTTCAAATATTACTAGTACAGTACCCGTGCGATGCACGGGAGTTTATATCTTCGTTCCTTTTAAAAAGTAATTTTCAGTTAAAATTCGAAGTACTTACTAAAGGAAAGATTATGTCATTATAATTAATAACTATAATGAAATAAAATTTATATATTATTAAACATTTCTTTGTATATAACGTTCATGGTTTGATTCTTTGACACGTCATCGTCGCCACAAATTAGGATTTTCAAACTATTTATGTTTGTGACACGGGAGACAACAACATACAACTGGCCATGACAAAATACTGATTTCTTAAGGAATAAGTCCACATGCAAAATAATAGAAAACTGCCGACGCTGGAAGTTGAAAGAAATTCTAACATCAGAAGGAAATATAGCCATTATTGGAATCAACACTTTAACACCTGCATGATCGTCAGTGAGTATCTTACACTCGAGAATGTAAGTGGAGAGCTTTGCCACAACCAATCGTGTCCCATTACACAGACTCATAGAGAAGATATAGTTACAAAATATCAAGTTAAAAAATATCGGATAAGCTTGAGAAATAAGATCATGCTTATCCATTCTGTTATTCAAACCCTCATTTTTTTCGCTAATAAATAGTTTTCCATATTTGATTACCACTTCACGTAACTGCACACTCATACTCATTTGCCAATTTTCCAGCCAGACTATGTTTGGTTGTAACCCCGTATAAAAATATATCGCTTAAAACGAATTTTTTTAGTTAATGAAGGATAATTTTGAAAAAATTAGTATAATTAGTTAGTGAAATTTTAAATTTATATTAAAATAATATTTAAAATAAAATAATTAAAATTGATAATATGTAAAATAGGAAAGAGATGATGTGAAACGCTGATTAGTTAAAATTATATGAGCATAAATAGCGAATTAAAGTTGATGTGATATGTAAGAATGATTGTTTGATATTATTTAATTATATTGTATATAATGAAGACAGTGAAGTTGAGTTAGAGTTGAATTAAATTTTGAGTATAAATTTAACATGAGTTGGAAAAACTTATAAAGTAACACCCCCTTGGAATTGATATACTCATATCCATAACATGTTTAAATTTTCACACGTGATAGCATCTTAAGAATTTAGGGCATGCTTGTTTATAAATTATTTTACTTACATTCAATTCATACTCAAAATTTAATTCAATTTTAACTAAACTCACTGTATGTAATATTATTCATATAATTAATAATACAATCAAATCATTCTTACACATCACATCAACTTTAATTCGATGTTCACTCACTCACATAATTTTAATTACCTATCATTTCAAATTATTTCCAATCATTTAGTTCCTACTTTTAGGTCAAGTTAATTTTAATCATTTTACTTTAAATATTATTTGAATATATTATTAAAATTCCACTAACAAATAATCGTACCACATTTTTTAAAATTAACTATGATTAATCAAAATAACTCATTTTAGACTAATTATTTTGTAAACAAACGAGTCCTAAGTAAGTGATATCCTAAAATTTTATTAATAGTTTTGAAATGTTAACTGATCAAAGACTAAAAATATAATAATAACAAGAATTTGTGTCTCCTTTCTTAAATTTTTAAAGGAAATGGCTGGTGTTTGGATAAAAGGTACATATTATGCTCATTACTCGAGTCAGATAATTTGGTGCACCCTGTGAAAAAGTCAAAAGTAATGGGCTAGAAATAGAAAAGGCACTACAATCACCTTTTCCGTATATGTAAGCCTAGATTCTCAATTCTTAGCCGAAGGTAAAGATTTTTTTCTCTTACGCCCAGTCTGCATATAATAACGTTAGGGCGAACGTCAGTACAACAAAATGATCAAATTTTAACGAAAAGTTTCAATACAAATAGATTTTAATAGAATTCGAACGAAAATTCTAACAAAAAATATTCCATTGCAATAAATTTTTCATTGAAATTTCTGTTGGTTTTTGAAGATTCCAACGGTAGATTTGAGGTGAAAATAAAAATTCCAACATAAATTGAATATTCCAACGGTAAAAAACTGTTGGAAAATAGCCGTTAAAATCATCAAATTTCATCTAAAATTTCAATGGAAAATTCATTCCAACGGAATATTTTTATTGGATTGATTGCAACGGAAGCTATACCATTGGAATATCTGTTAGAATATATTATCGTAAAATTTCCCGTTGGAATATAACATGTTTTTTGTAGTGCGTCTTTTTCACTCTATTATTTTTGGAATCATTTATTTAATTAAAAAAACAAAAAAATATGTGGCAAAAAATTTAAAAAAAAAGTTGTGAAAAAAATAAAACGGCCGGATTCTGGGAATCCGTGTTTCAAGGAAAAACGGATTCTGAGAATCCGTTTTTCATTAATCCCAATAGAAAAATGGATTCTCAGAATCAGTTTTTCCTTAATCACGTGATTACCCGTAATCAATTAAACTAAAAAATGTGGTATGAAAATCCGTGTTAACTAACACGGATTTTCACAATCCGTTTTAACAGAGAACACGAATTCTCAGAATCCGTGTTTATTTATTTATTTATTTATTTTATGAAAAAAACGGATTCTAAGAATCCGTTTTTATGTATTTTTTTTAATTTGTTTTTAAGTTAGGCTCGACTCTTGGATGCTCACGAACTCGTTTACCAGCGATCGCGTTTATTTTGGCTGAATTTTTATTCTTATCCTTCAATATGAAGGTTTTTTTATAAATTTTGATTTAACATTTTGAACACGAAATAATATCACTTTAATATCAATTCGTTCATCAAATTATAAATCTAGCATGCATACATACATGAAACACTATATACAAAAAGACAACCACAATTACCGACAAAAAAAAAAAATGAACCACAAAATATGTACTCAAAACCATCAAGAATAAATATCTGAAAATTCAGTACAAAAAATAAAATAAAAAAAAAATGTCCACAAATTCACAGAATACAAAACAAACTAACTAGGAGTAAATGTTTTCTTCGGCTGGCGTTTTCGGGACCCTCTCCGAGGCCCCGGTACCAAAGAAGACGATCCTGCGGTAGGTCCAGGCGTGGCTGGTTCTTCTTCTTCTTCACCTAATTAATTAAATTTTGTAAAAAATCAGTAATTCGACAGCATAAATAAATAAAAACAAACAAAAATAAAATATATATTTGTAGTTAAATAAAAAAATCTCACCTTCTTCGTCTTCTTCATTCCCGGGGAATGCAGCGGCGGGTTCGCGGTCACGACGTCTTCTCCCTCCACCAATGTGGGGCGCCGGCCTATGCCTCGCTCGCTGGGACTGTGTCTGCTGGGGTGGGGCGTACTCATCTTGAGATAGAATTTGCTCCGACGACGCCCCTTGTGTGACCGACTGATCCCCAACAGTCAGAGAAGCGTACAGAAGTTCCTGGGCTTGCTGGAACTGTGACTGCGCTCGGGGAGGTAGCGTATCAATGTCTTCAATGTTCGATAGCATGTTATACGCCTCATTCGTACCCGAATTCTGAAAATAAAATTCAAATAACTATCAAATATTAAAAACAAAAAAAATAATAATAATTACTTCAATAATAATAATAATAATAAAAATCATAAATTAGCATACACTTACCTGACACTTCTCCCGGTCGGCATATGGCTGAAACCCGCCATCCTGTGAGATCGCCGCATAGTTGTTAGGGTCATTGAATAGTCTCACAGTCCGACTGTGGTACCAATCAATGTACTCCTCTGCTGGCTGCAGGAAGGGATCCACCGGGACATCTGGGAGGACGTTCTGATCTCTCTCTTCGGTCCAGATCCTCCTAATTAAGATCAACATGGAAGGCTCGCCAATCGGTATATGCCCTCCAAGTCATGCCCTGGCCTTTGTGGCGGGTGTCCCAGTCGGCCAGACTAGTAATGATCGGCGTCTGGGGGATGGGCTGGTGGCACCGAAACTGGCGGAGCACCCTATCGGGCTGGTGGCACCGAAACTGGCGGAGCACCCACCCTATCAGGCTGGTGGGGTTCTGCGATGTTCCAGCAGAAGATCCACCCCTTGTACATCCAGAGATGTATGTCTCGTGTACACTGGTCTGGGAGCCGACCCTCGTCTATGTACGTCTGATAGGGTACCCAATCGAACTGTAAAAAAAAAAATAAATTATAGAATTATTAATGAATTTAATAAAAAAATAAAAAATTAAAAAAGATAATAATTATTTATTATTATGACCTAAGAAACTTACATCAGTCTCTCTCAGGCCACTCAGCTGATCTCGGATGGTAGCCGTGTCCGTCCCCAGATGCCTCATGTCCCTCGATCCCACCCACCTTAAATTGTACTTCAATTGTACTAATTTGACTTCAGTTGTACTAATTTGACTTCAATTGTACTAATTCGAGTTCGATTACACTATAATTGACTTCAATTGTACTAATTTGACTTCAATTGTACTAATTCGAGTTCGATTATACTATAATTGACTTCAATTACACTATAATTGACTTCAATTGTACTAATTCGAGTTCGATTACACTATAATTGACTTCAATTATACTATTTTGACTTCAATTGTACTAATTTGACTTCAATTGTACTAATTCGATTTCGATTACACTATAATTGACTTCAATTGTACTAATTTGACTTCAATTGTACAATTCGAGTTCGATTACACTATAATTGACTTCAATTGTACTAATTTGACTTCAATTGTACTAATTCGAGTTTGATTGCACATTATATAAATCATCCAAGTACAAAATAATCATCTCAAAAATCTAGTTCCCCCAATCATCACGTAGTCTAGTTCGATCGGTGGGAGGATGCGAATACGGGCAATGGTCCGCGAAATGTTCGGGATCACCACATTTAGTGCATTGATCCCGGACTCTTCTGCGGCGCGCCCGACGATCCATTTGCATTTTAAAGCGTCTCGTTTGGGCGCGACCGGGTCCAGGATTCGAGATGATCATCTGCCAATG